CTGCCAAGTGACCCTATGTAGGGGGACCAGTCTCTATTCTGCTCTGTGTCCGTGTGCATCAGGGGCCCTGAGGACAGGTGTCAATCCATATGTCAAGGTGTCAATATGTCATATGTCAGGTGTCAATCCATATTGATTGTGATTTAGAAATGTTAGGTGATTTCTGCCCTTTATGGATTAAAACCAGACTCTGTATCAACTGTGTAATTTTCCATGGGAGTTTTGCCATGGATCCCCTCCGGCATGCCACAGTCCAGGTGTTAGTCCCCTTGAAACAACTTTTCCATCCCTATTGTGGCCAGAAAGAGTCCCTGTGTGTTTTAAAATTCGCCTCCCCATTGAAGTCAATGGAGTTTCGGGCGGTTCGCCGGTTCGCGAACATTTGCGGAAGTTCGCGTTCGCCGTTCGCGAACCGAAAATTTCGGGTTCGCGACATCACTAAACTCTAGTACTGTGGATCAAGAATGGAAACAAGCATGTGCAGGCTTGTACAAAGTTCCCCTGGAAATCTAGCACATGGCCGCTCAGAAATTGTAATAGAGAGAGAGAGAAAGATATTCCATAGTATCAGATTGGCACTTACAAGACTTGTTACAGAAATATAAATAGATGTCAAAAGTTTTAGACCTCTGAGGATAACAACATAAAAGGCATTTTTGTTCATGGTGTTTGTTAATGAAATAATACAAGTTGGGTTGGAACAGGTACGCGGTAGCGACCATGCCAACAGTCCAGAGATGACCAAACTCGACTCCTCTGAGGTTAGCTTGATAAAATTTATTTATTTATTTGTAAAAATATTTTACCAGGAAGGATACATTGAGATTTCTCTCATTTTCAAGTATGTCCTTGGTCCACAAAACATTGCATTGATACAATAGGGTACAATAAAATACAAAAACAATATTAATACACAATATATACAAAATTTAACATAGAACAGGTAGGAAATATATACTCAACCATGACAGGTGCATTCTGTTTTGAGATATGTAGAGAGGGATCTATTAAAGTATTTTAGGCTTGGGGAAGATTTTAAAATGCTCTATTAGGAGCCAAAACATTGCTGCTCATCATCCAATAACTTTGCCTGCACCTTAGACCTGTGCCCAGTCTTTTTTCTTTTTACTTCTGAAATAAAAACTGAATTCTTTAGCACTGTGCATAGGGGCATTGCTATACTGAAACATGTTGGAACCATGTGTACATCACATACTGAACCTGTATTACCAATGCTAACTCAGGCGTTTAGTGACAAGGTTTTAGGATAACAGAAATAATCCAGTAGTTACCATGGCGACTGCTTCCATTGCAGACCTTTAGGACCAAACTAGTATTAACAAATAGCTTTTCACGTTTGTCAATACTTTTATGATGACTCATAAGCATTAATAAATCATGATTGCAATTTTTTAAATGTATATGTATATTTACAATGTACACAGACATTGTGATCCACATTCTAGAGAAATGACGGTGTCCATTTCTAGACTTTTTTGTCTTGCTCAATTACAGAGTAAAATGGAAACAATGAATAATTGTCCTTCAAAACATAATCAGTAGGAGGGAAAAGAATGAGTAGGATATATTGTATATTGTGTAGTTAATTCTTGAAACAGAATTACAGCACAGTGTATCAGTAAAAAGATTTTCTGCTTTCTATTCTTTAGCTCCATAGCAAATGTATAGTGGTCAGGTAATGAGTCGAACACCCGTTAGTCTGATGAAAGAAGTTTATATAAATTGCAATTCAGATGCAAAGTTCCAAAAGTGGAGCATTACCTATGTTCAAACAAACCAACGGATATAAAATCTAATTTTATCACATGACAGGAGGCTTCATTTATTGCATAATCTTCCTTTACTACTCCATAGCAGCAAAGACATATAGAGAAAAAAAAAGGAACCAATCAGAGACAGGCAGAGAGGATAAGATAAGCCTTCCACCGAGTCACTTCCTCTTTATTGCTGCTCCATCACAAGTCAGGTCAGAATATTGTGTATCTACACTTTGTTTATTTTTTTACTTATTTACTTGATTGATTTCTGTCTTTTCTTACTGTATATGTATTTATGTAGGGTTTTATCTGAGAGTGGTGATGCTGGTTTTGTTTTGTATAGTATAGACTTGATATCTGTGTACCTACTTTATCCCCTTTTATTCCCTGTCAGTTTTTTGTTTATCTTACATTTTATGTCGGTACATAATACTGATTTGATTATTAGAGGGTGAGCCCCTCTCCTAAACACAGTCCAATATTGATATTTATACTGCTTCCTGTCAGTTTTTTGTTTATCTTACAGTTCATGTCAGTACATGATATCGATTTCATTATTAGAGGGTGAGCCCCTCTCATAAACTCAGCCCAATACTGCTATTGATACTATTTTCATTATTAGAGGGTGAGCCCCTCTAATAAAATGTTCTCCTTGTGGCTACGCTCGCCACTCCACAGGCACTCTCCCACCGCCACACTCTCTCCTCAAGGAGAGCGCGGGGCGCTGTGGAGATTTCCCGCCTGTCAGGTTTCTGCGTTCGCACGCTTTTAATGTGCGCTCACGTTCACCTATTCTCACCTTTTCAATCTACCGAACGCATATATCTATGTGCGCTCAGCGGTTTGTATTTTCTATCAGGCATTCGCAAGGGTTCATGCGTTCGTGTATGCCTGTTTTTCGTCCTTAAATCTACCAAACGCGTATTCAAACCGATGCGCGTTCAGCGGTTTGTATTCCTTTGGACCATTCTACTCCTGACTGCACATCCTCAGCGTTCAGTAGTTTTCCCTTTGGGTTGTTTGTTTTCTGTGTTTGTTTTTCCCTCCGTTCAGTTTTCTCCAGTATTACTGTTCTGTCTCTGTTTGCTTTATTTCAAGCGACTGTTCGACAGATTTCCCATGAACAGATTTCAAGGGGTTTATCGCTGCCACTTTGGATCGCGCCTCACAAGATCCGCAATGGCCATTTAACCCCTGCAGGTTGCTAGAAATTAAACAGGGGTGAGTCCCTGATTTATAAAGGTACCCTAGCTTATGCTATCTACTGCTTTTACTGGAATACTTCTCTACTAATAGTTCTGGGGGTGAGCCCCCCACATCATATAATTACATACCCTGGAACCTTACCTTGCTGGAAAATGATGGCTAGTTGATCTGTCTGTCACTGTTAAAGCTCCTATGATTGGCCTGTCTGTGCCACCATACCTCCCCACGAGATACTCCTGGAGGTTTTATTATTACTGGGTGAGCCCACTTATTACAACTGTATATATATATATATATATATATATATATATATATATATATATATATATATATTGGAATCAGTGTAGAAATTGGCTTCTGTTCACCTTGCCTGTTACAGGGACCTGTCAAGGTTAGTATTAACCTAGGGGTGATTCAGCCGGTCAGGTTCATACCTAGTAACCCGGCTCGGGGTAAGCCTCCTTATACCGCTGCCGAGTGGAGCTGTGCTTGCAGCCTCTTTTTACCTGGGTGAGACCCAGAGTTGCCTATACATACATTACTATGGGTCGCATACTTGACCACCATAATCCCTAGCAGTCGCTGCTACGAATTTGCCTATTTACTCACAAATCTATTGCGTGAGCCCAAAGTATACTGGGTGTTAATAATGGAAGACTCAAACCTCCAGGCAGTAATCAACGCTGCAGTTGCCACTTCTGTGGAGAAGGCCTCACCACCCATGCTCGCGAGATTGGACACCACCTTAAATTATGCACTTTTGACTACGGAAGGCACTGGACAAGGAGGTCTGCAAGCAACTGAGATCAGAGTGCCCAGACCTTCACTCCGGATAAGGTCGCCTATACCCCAGAATTTGACCAGATGATGCTGGCTTTCATGGCACGGGGGGTAGAGACCCAAGGAAAGGGGTCGATAAAGGATTTAAGGGAGCCCAGGATAAGCTCCTCGATGCTGGCGGGCTGCTCGCCCAGGTTCTGACCCTATCGGATGAGGCATACACCCAGACTGACTCCTTTCAGCAGACAATGCTCACAACGGGGCGCACAATATTCAGGAGTGGACCCAGAGATGTTTTGCTTCCTGGGCAGCCTTATTCCGAATTGATGGCAAATTGGTAAACCTCTAGGCTAAGGAATTGGGCTCACAGGCACGAGGAAAATTATTCGGTGAGCCTTTCATGAAAGGCTAATGCATGCTTAGTCAGAAGAATCTATTTAACCCTTGGGGGTCACAGGTTCAGTTCCCCAGCATGGTTGACTCAGCCCTTCAGCCCTTTGAGGTAGATAAAATAAATACCATTAAATTGGGTAAAAGTTACATCAATAACTTGGAAACAAGAAAATATCTAAATGTCTCTTTCCTGGTTAAACATTTTTCACATACCACCATTTTAAGATGGAAGGTATCCATCTATTGCAGCACCCCCGGCAAGGAGGGGACTGGTTTACCCCCCTGGACTTAAAGGCGCCTACCTGCATGTACCCGTAGACAATGGCAGTCGTCCCTCCTTTCGGTTCCTCTGGAACAGGACACAATGGCCATTTACCTGCCTCCACTTCAGGCTCAGTTCGGCACCACAGTGCTTTCAAAGGTTTCTGAAACCAGTTATGGCTCATTTACAGGGTCAAGGCATATGATGCCTGGCTTACCTGGACGGCATTCTACTCTCCTACCAGAATCGCAACCACCTTCTTTTAACTACAGATTAGAGGGTGACCATGTCTGAATCCCTCGGCTTCCTGGTCAAATCAAGAAAAGTCAACACTGACTCCAACTCAATATGTGCAAGTCCTTGGGTTCGACATCGACTCCCTGTCATGTACACTTCGACTTCCAACTAACACAGTCATGGCAATACGCAAGGACATACGGAAGATTCTACGTTGGGATTTAATCCCACTCAGACTGCTGGCATGGATCATATGACTGCTATCTTCCATCCAGGTGATCTTCCACTCTCAGGCCATGTAACGCCTAACAGCTTGTTTCCCCAGGAAAAACCCCACTTACGACCAACCAGTACTCATGACGTAAGAAATCCAACAGGAACTTCAATGGTGGCTTGACGGTATGCAGGCGTGAAATGGCAGAGCCATCTTCAGCAAGATCGACTTTTCCATCTCGCATCAACCGCCAACTACCATTTTTCTACAGCTAATTACCAGATCTGGAGGGTGAAGCGGTAGACGCTTTCCTGCAGGCATGGCCAACCGAAGGGGCTTACGCATTCCCACCCTTTACAATAATCGCAAGAGTGGTTCACTGGAGTCTTTCAGGGGTGTTTGATGCACAGATTACTTTTTGCCAACAGCTAGAGATATACTCTGGGACCACGGGCCCCTGGAACGAGGAAGTGTTACCTCTCAGCTTGGAATTCATGGGTCAATTGGTGTATAGGATGGAACCTTGATCCTTTTATGGCCTCTGTATCCTCCATATTGAACTTCCTTGCATCCCTGTTCTCGGAAGGTAAGTCTTATCAGTCCATCAATTATGTGTATTCTGCGATTTCAGCGGCTCACGTTCCATAACAAGGGAAACCGATAGGTCGGAATCTCTTGGTTTGTAAACCACTTTGGGACATTCAGTTACGTAGACCCCTGCACAGAATATTCCTCCATTTGGAATGTGGCCCAAGTTCCTTCTAACAGCAATTGTCTTTATACAACCGACAGCGAAGTTTACCCTCCTTTTTTGTCTGGTATCTTTCCATCTTTCCATTAGATTTTGGACATTCGAGAAGTTCCACATGGATGCCTTCTCGTTTTCTCAGGAAAGTGTCACGACGTACCAGACGGATTCAACTTTGTTTTTTTACCCATTTTTACCCATCAGAACCCAACTTTGTGTGGTCCAGACACTGCATGCCTACATACGGCTAAGGCCACACTACGATTACCTCATCCCAACAATTATTAGTGTCCTACGTTAAGCCACATGGGCCAGTCTCTGTTACCACCTTGGTCTGCTGGGTACGATGGCTTTTATCTCTTACCGGAATTGACCCTTCCTTCGGCGTGCACTCGGTTCAGGGTGGTGGCCTCTTCCGCCTTCACAGCGAGGGCCCACTTATCAGATATGTCGCTCTTGGCAGACTGGTGACGAGAACCCACCTTTCGGACATTTAACTCTCAGCTGTCCTCCATTGTCGTTTTCTCTCTATTACCTTAGCACTAAAAATGCAAAATATGAAGCCTCCTGTCATGTGATTCAATTTAAGATTATGCTAGCTTTAGTGTACTAATAATCTTAATTTCAATAATGACAGGAGGAGAGTATTTCCTCCCCCGCCCATTGAATGTCCCTCCCATTCAGACGGGTTTGCATCACCAGGTAAGCAATGTATGTTATCCATATGGTACTGGTCCTTTTCTTGTGACTACGTAATTGACTCTATTCACTCTAAATGGAAAGTTGGCGTTGTTTTTCATATATAGTTGATGTATGTATAGATATTCTATATTAGGTAGCTATATTATGGTACGTAGGTTCCATTTTATAGATCACGATAGATTGTGATAGTACTGAATTATTGTGCTCCTTTTATGTGATAGTTACCCATATTGTTCAGGTTTACATTTCATATCACTAAAACGGTCTCGGTCTCTTTCAGCTTAAAAGACACAAAGATCTTCTACATCAAGTGTACAAGGATATTCGTTGTTCCCAGTTTTAAATGAATCCAGCTGTTCTTTATTGTTCCTGGAATTTGAACGTTCTTCGTTATTCCATATGGTTCTTCAGTTGATCGTGTGACTAGTGATGTCGCCGTTACCAAGAGGAAGTGACTCAGTGGAAGGAGTATCTTATACTCTCTGCCTGTCTCCTTTTTCTCTATATGTCTTTGCTGCTATGGAGTAGTAAAGGAACATTATGCAAAATACTCGCCTCCTGTCATTATTAAAATTATTTGTACCCTAAAGCTAGCATAATCTTCTATTTTTATACATAACTCAAGTGACCCAAGTCTTCTAAAAGTCATATTTTTTTGAAAGAGTGAAGTCATTTTATTTATGAGCAAAAATAATATATAAATTGATTCCTATAGAGCAAGCTTCTCCAAAATCCGGCCCTCCAGATGTTGCTGAACTGCAATTCCCATGATTCTCAGCCTATTTTATTCATAAGATATTGAGAGTTGTAGTTCAACAACATCTGGAGGGCTGGAGTTTGGGAAGCCAGTTATAGAGGATCAACAGGTCGTGTTGGGGAGCCTGCAAGGGTATAACTCACAGAGCATTGGAGAATTATAACTAATTACAAAGAACCCCAACTAAAAGAGGAAAAATGAAAATGAGCAAGTCCCTAGAAAAATGATAAGGAAAGTTTATTCAAAATTGGACAACATTTTTTATTGAAATCAGAAGTATTCAAGGACTCGAATAATCAGTAAAAGATAATAAACCCATCACCTAACAGAAGAAAATATATACATATGGAGTCTCCTAACAGAAGAAAATAAATACATTAATACCTAATTTGGAGACTCCATATGTATATATTTTCTTCTGTTAGATGATGGGTTTATTATTATTTTTTTTACGGATTATTTTTTTAGTCCTTGAACACTTCTGATTTCAATAAAATGTTTTGTCCAATTTTGAATAAACTTTCCTTATAATTTTTTTTAGGCTCATTTCCATTTTTCCTCTTTTAGTAGCAGTTCTTTGGAATTAGTTATTATTTCATTTATGGGACACAATAAGTATGAGGTCATACTTGACTGCAAGTAAAAAAAAAATCTGTGTGTAACACCCTGAAGAAAAATACAAAAAAAATGAATGGCGGCATTAAGGTGTGACAACCCAACGGGGTTTGGTTGTTAAGGAACTCAGTTTCAGCGGAAGAGCTCTCCCTTACAATGACAACCCTCATGGGCACGCCCCGAACCACCACTGACCTATCAAGGCACAGTTTTCACCTTCATGTGCCCCTGAGAGTTGCCTTTAATAAGCAAAAGGGTGCCTGGCAGTGGTATCTGAGAGGGAGGAGACAGGAGGTGAAGCCAGGCAGTCCAAAGGTCAGGGCAGGCAGTGAGAAAGCTTGGTCAAGAGGAAAGCCAGAGTCAGGAACTAGGAGATCAATCAGAAGAGAGCCAGGTCAGGAAAATCACAAGGCATCAGGAACAGGTAGCTTAGAACAACCAAGTACTGATTAGGAGGTACTCTGGGATTAAAAAGGCTGACAGAGTAACATGACCAGCCACCTGCCACCAATAGGTGAGCACTCTGGGGATATATTTCAGTGACTTAGTGCCATCTTTCTTAGCATCATTGTTCCTGGACAAACTCTCCCACTCTGCCTCCTCCTGCGTGCCACTTAAGAATTCCGTATGGCGACCAAATCTTTCAGTGGACCCTCACTCTGAATAGGGAGAGTCTAAAAGTAAAGTAAAGAAATAGAGGCTTGCAACCAATTGCTTTGTGCACCTAACACTAGTGCTACCACAGTTTATTAGAAGAAAGCAAAAGTTTTAGGGTAATCCCTTCCTAAATGCAGCATGTACCTCCCGAACGGGGAGCTGGGGGAAATAAACAAAACGAACATCTATGAAAGGAGAACTGGTGTCATGGTTATGATCAGGTCAGACAAGAGACTTATGCCGGGGTTAAATTCAGGTAGATTATTTGAGTTATTAAACATGGTTAGAAAAAGGTAATAATAAGAATAATGGGAGAAAGAGGGAAAAGGTATTATAAAGACAAAGGGAGAAAGCAGAACCTAGAAACAGAATTACACGAAAATATGAAAATCGAAGTTTAGGCAATATGCCCCAAAACAGGTTTACAGGAGACAGGTAAACAATTAGATAAAACCAAAGAGGAATATAAAGGATAAAGTAAAACCGGTTAAAGCATCAATTGAGGTGATCAGCCTTTTTGGTTTGTAATCAGAACTGCAGTTTCAGAGTCCTTGAAGATACTTACAACTGATAAGAATGTCTGTAATATCCAGGTAGGTTGGAACCAAATCAAGTGATAGGAATTCACTCCCACTCTAACTTTCATAATAGAAAGCAACCCAAAAATATAGAAAAAACTGAAATTGTTTACTTACCGTAAATAATTTTTTTCTTAATAAGGTGGCAGTATCTGTGGGTTTGCCCTTTCCACATGGGACAAGCACCTGAAAGACAATAAAAATAATAAATCCCTCCCCCTTGCCCTATAAAGGGATGCTAAGGCAAACCTACCCCAGTGAGTATCAAGAAAACACAGACTCAATTTAAACTGCAAGTAAAAACTAATTAATTTAGTGGGAGGGAAAGTTGTACTGCCACCATATTAAGAAAAAAAGAATTCATGGTAAGTAAAAAAATATGTTTTTTCTGGCATATGGTGGCACTATCTGTAGGATATAGCAAGATCCCTATCTGGGTGGGTCTTATGCCACCCCAGCTTGTAACACTTACATCCAAAGGCAGCTTCAGAGGAAGAGAATATATCTAGCCTGTACAGCCTGACTAAGGTGTTGAATGAAGACCATGATGCTGCCTTACAGATATCTTCTGGAGAAGCAAGAGCCCTTTCAGCCCATGAGGTAGCCATAGCCCGAGTGTGAGAGAAACTTGATGTCCACAGGAAGAATATGCCAACCTAATAGCCTCTATGAGCCAACAAGACAAACTATTACGGGAAGCTTCTTTCCCCTTGAATTTCCCCTGGAAGTTAAACAGATGGTCAGAATTTCTGTACTCTGTTGATCTAGAAAGATAACTCTGCAATCCTCTTCCAACATCCAATTTATGCCATCTAAGCTCCTGAGGGGAGGTGGCATTACTACAAAAAGAAGGAAAAATAATAGGTTGATTTACTGCTTTTAAAGACAAAACTTTTGGTAAAAAGGAAGGTTTAGGGTGAAGAACAACCTTGTCGTTGTGAAATACAGTTAATTAATCCGAAGATGAAAGAGCCTGAAGTTCACCTTAATTAAGAAAAAAAAGGAAAAAAATAAAGGCTGAAATTTGTAACCATAAGAGTAGATACACCTAAACCTGCAGAAAAACCGTCCTGGAAAAAGTGAAGAAGGTGTCTAGAGACGAATGAACTCGCAGGCCGTGGTGTTCTTTACACCAATGTAGAAATCTGACCCAGATACGAAAGTAGATTCTAGAAGTGGAACGTCTAGTTGACTAAAGTAAAAGAGAAACTCTGTCTTCTTGCAGACCTTGATGACGAAGTATCAACCTAGCAGTAGCCACACCATCAACCTGAATATCTTCAAAACCTCTAGTGGTAGATCAGAAGAAAATAAATACATTAATACCTAATTTGGAGACTCCATATGTATATATTATATTCTGTTAGATGATGGGTTTATTATTATTTTTTTTACTGATTATTTTTTTAGTCCTTGAACACTTCTGATTTCAATAAAATGTTTTGTCCAATTTTGAATAAACTTTCCTTATAATTTTTTTTAGGCTCATTTCCATTTTTCCTCTTTTAGTAGGGGTTCTTTGGAATTAGTTATTATTTCATTTATGGGACACAATAAGTATGAGGTCATACTTGACTGCAAGTAAAAAAAAAATCTGTGTGTAACACCCTGGAAAAAAATAAAATAATTAATGGCTGCATTAAGGTGTGACAACCCGCCGGGGTTTGGTTGTTAAGGAACTCAGTTTCAGCGGAAGAGCTCTCCCTTACAATGACAACCCTCACGGGCACGCCCCGAACCACCACTGACCTATCAAGGCACAGTTTTCACCTTCATGTGCCCCTGAGAGTTGCCTTTAATAAGCAAAAGGGTGCCTGGCAGTGGTATCTGAGAGAGAGGAGACAGGAGGTGAAGTCAGGCAGTCCAAAGGTCAGGGCAGGCAGTGAGAAAGCTTGGTCAAGAGGAAAGCCAGAGTCAGGAACTAGGAGATCAATCAGAAGAGAGCCAGGTCAGGAAAATCACAAGGCATCAGGAACAGGTAGCTTAGAACAACCAAGTACTGATTAGGAGGTACTCTGGGATTAAAAAGGCTGACAGAGTAACATGACCAGCCACCTGCCACCTATAGGTGAGCACTCTGGGGATATATTTCAGTGACTTAGTGCCATCTTTCTTAGCATCATTGTTCCTGGACAAACTCTCCCACTCTGCCTCCTCCTGCGTGCCACTTAAGTATTCCGTATGGCGACCAAATCTTTCAGTGGACGCTCACTCTGAATAGGGAGAGTCTAAATGTAAAGTAAAGAAATAGAGACTTGCAACCAATTGCTTTGTGCACCTAACACTAGTGCTACCACAGTTTATTAGAAGAACGTATAAAGCGAAAGTTTTAGGGTAATCCCTTCCTAAATGCAGCATGTCCCTCCCGAACGGGGAGCTGGGGGAAATAAACAAAACGAACATCTATAAAAGGAGAACTGGTGTCATGGTTATGATCAGGTCAGACAAGAGACTTATGCCGGGGTTAAATTCAGGTAGATTATTTGAGTTATTAAACATGGTTAGAAAAAGGTAATAATAAGAATAATGGGAGAAAGAGGGAAAAGGTATTATAAAGACAAAGGGAGAAAGCAGAACCTAGAAACAGAATTACACGAAAATATGAAAATCGAAGTTTAGGCAATATGCCCCAAAACAGGTTTACAGGAGACAGGTAAACAATTAGATAAAACCAAAGAGGAATATAAAGGATAAAGTAAAACCGGTTAAAGCATCAATTGAGGTGATCAGCCTCTTTGGTTTGTAATCAGAACTGCAGTTTCAGAGTCTTTGAAGATACTTACAACTGATAAGAATGTCTGTAATATCCAGGTAGGTTGGAACCAAATCAAGTGATAGGAATTCACTCCCACTCTAACTTTCATAATAGAAAGCAACCCAAAAATATAGAAAAAAATGAATTTGTTTACTTACCGTAAATTATTTTTTTTTTAATAAGGTGGCAGTATCTGTGGGTTTGCCCTTTCCACATGGGACAAGCACCTGA